TGATAATAACCTCCTCTTTTTTTTTTTTAATGTAGCTACAGCCTCACTGTTTGGACAGGAAAGGAAGATGTCTATTCTGTGGAAGATTTGCTTTACATCCGAGAAAACTTTGACAAAAGTAGGGTTTATTACGACATCTTAGAGCCACAAAAGTCTGAATTCAAAAAAGCTATAGGACTAGAATAGTAAATACGGAGCAGGCAGCCTCTGACCCTATAATACTTGGCCTCTTTCAATGTGAAATTTCTTGTTCAGGTGAATTCATTTTCCTTCCCCAAAGAACTGTATAGAACACAGCCGTGGTTACTGAAGGAGTTTTTGTATAGCACCTTATTGAAAGGCTTCTGAAATAGAAATTTAACGCCTTCCTTAATAGGTCAGAATTGTTACTTACCCATCATGTGGAAGTTCCTCTGGTTCACCCAGTGGCGTGAAGGCTGTTCGCGTTACCCAAATAACTCTGGTGCTTCTTCCCTGCCAGCACGTACAGGGGAGAACGGGCCCAGAGGATGGTTGTGGCCCAAGGTAATTTGCTGCTAAAGGCTTTTATGTAAGCCAGAGTCTACGGGACGCTCCGTCTCTTCCAGAGCCTGCTTTTGTGTCCTACAGGGGAGGACAGGAGTTCAGTACAGAACTACGCACCTCCCATAGGGGTTATTTTGTAGCCCTCCTCCACAGGAGGAGTCCAGCCTATTTAATTTCGCCCGTTTTTTGATTGTCTAGCTTCTGAATCCCTTAAAATGAACACAGACACTGAAATCCATGCAGATTGAGACACAGGCTGTGAATTGTTGTCTTTTGCCAAACATTACAATTTTTTTTTTCCCAAATGACAGGAGATTCTGATTTGTAAACAAAAGCTGATTCTGTGAAGGGGTATTACCCTGGCATCTCCTTGCCCTCCTTTTCCCATTCCTCTCTTACATGTAAATTTTTTTGCCTTTGGTGTTTCACACAACACTGGACAGGCTGTTCGTACTAAAGGGGTTGGAACTGGATGATCTTTAAGATCCCTTCCCACCCAAACCATTCTCTGTTATTCTGTGATAGAGAGTCAATTACAGCATTTTTTGGTTCTTAAAGCCTTTTTATAGTATTAGTACAACTGTGATAGAAAAATGAGTTGTATTTATTAATCCTAAATACTGAAATACAGTGATTTCATGCAGTCATTAAAATGCAAGGTTCCTGGGTGTTACCTAAGCTCCTTTGACCGGTTTATCTAATCATTGTTTTATGATACTGAGGGGTAGAGCTTTCATCATTTTTGTCACCTACTACGGTACAGTTGGGTAAAATTAGGAAATATTTTTCCAAATGAGGAAGAAAACTATCTATTTGTACTTGGAATAGTTAAACAGGGTACTAGATTTAATTTACAGAGTCAGCCAGCATGAACAGCAATAGCCACCAAAGGGTCAATTTTGGCGGTGCAGTTCTTTTTAGTGAATTGGGAGAAACTATTTATTTTTCAGTTCACTGTTGACAGCGTGATCTGATTTAAACAGATTTAACCGCTCGGTTCTTTACAGCATCTCCCTCTTTCTTCTGCTTGGCGTGTACATGTTGCTGTACCCGGGAGAAGGAGAGGTTGACTGTTTCCTAACTGATCATGACTTTGGAAAATATTTTAAGTACTTCAGAGACGCTTTTCTACAGCAGATCATTTTGACTAGAAGAGGTTCAGGAGCTGTTGCATGAACAGGCGTGCTTGCAGATCTGGTCATGCCGTATCCTTTCCTGGCTGGTGACCCTTCCATGTAACTCCCCTTCAGGGAGAACGGGCTATGTGAATGTCCCCAGCTCCAGTTAAACCAGTTACAGACACCGCTTTGAATCTATACTGTGTACAGTACGTCAGTCGGAGATAGCATAGTTCAGAGGTTTTTATTTTTTGGGATGTAGCATTGAACGAGAAGCACTTGGGGGACATCAGCAAGCTTTTGGAATCAAATGCAGCGTGGATGCACTAGCCAAAATGAATCAGCCAGGTGTGGGAATAACAGAATTCGCTTTTGAGGGACATAAAGTGATGCTTGAGGACGCATCACTGTGGCCGTGTTCATCTACTGAATGAAAGGTGCTATTAAGAGCGTTGAGGGTTTTGTGTTCTTACCGAGCACTTCACTAGATCTAGGCCTAGCCTAGATTTCTTTTCAACATCCTGCTGGTCATTCAGAAGCAGCAATACATTCTAGTCATACATTCACTTGCAGCAGATTTAAAGGCAAGTATCTCGTTGTCCTTTTGTTCCACGATTTAAATAAACAATTAGGACTGGAACAGACTCCTGGATCTTGTTTCAGCTGCTTCTTACAGGCAGTTAGGTTTGTTGACTTGAGGGATTTAGTATTTCAGTTGGTGGGGCCTTTTGCTCTCCACACTGGCAAACTCTTCAGTTGCCCACTTGATCGATTCCCACCTGAAGTTTTAGCATTTGTTGAAACTGGCTAAATTACTAAGTGAAAAACGTTACCAGCAATTGCCAGAAGTATTCTTAAGGGTGAAGACATGATGGAAGAAGTATCGCTGAGTAATAGATGTGGATTACGAGTAAACAGATATACGCAGATAAAATTAAAAAATGCTATGATCTGGATTGCCAAAAAATTTACTTAAGGTAACGAGACATGAAAACTAGACTAAACAGAATGCTAGGAATTAATTCCATGGCGTGTTCTTGCAGTGACGTAATGGTTTGGCTGTATTGTTAATTGGATTCTTCTGTACGGATTGTCCTATATATATATGAATTTCTGTATGTGTTTTTTTTTACCAATGGTTGCCTCAGGTTCCCGTGAAGTCGTTTGTGTTGTTTGTCTTATTGCGTAAATAAATTCATTTGAATTTGTTCCTCTGTTTTTATGCCAGTTTTCTTACAAATGCTCTCCTTGTGAAATGAGATGTGTTCACTCTGGGGCTGGGAATAAGATAAGAAACGTGAGATAAAAGCCAGTTATTTATTCTGTTGTAAACAGAACTGTGGCAGTTCTGTGTTACTCTAGCTGTTGGGGTTTTTTGTTTGTTTGGTTTTGTTTAACCTGTCAGGAATCTATTCTTTGTACTTATAACTTAGTGTAGGAGCTGTCAATTTTGCCACCTCTTCGTGGCATCATCTTCCGTATCAGTGTTGCTTCATGTGTGCTGATACCTTTCAGCCAGGTTTGGAGATTAATTGCCCTTGCTACGTGAAAAATCTGGTTGGCTTTTGTGGAATCAGGTGTCGTACAGGATGCCCAGGTGAGTTAATTGATTAACAGAACATTTCTAAATTACTGCACATGTAGATCAAGCTTTGTGCTTTTCTGTGAATTTGAGAGAACTTATTAAATAGATAAAATGACATGTTACAGAAGAGAATTGACGTTGTTAGTCCTTCACAACTACTCAGTAATATCCTGCAGTAACATGGAAGCGTGCTGATGAAAGCAAAAGGGAAGTTGGTATTCTGAGGAATTAAAGAAACCTTCATCTTTCGCACTCATTCGAAGAATTATTCAGTTTTGGCCTACTCTGACTGCAAAAAAAGCCAGTCTTTTGGTTCAGTTAAAACCTTCAAATCAAAGCTGTCTGTATGTCCTTTATCAGCCAGCTGCCGACGGACTGATTTCCGCACTGTCCATTTAAGGTTTGGGTCTGAGCAGTGTAAACCTTGCACTTACGACTTCCACTGCGCTCCGTTTGGATGCCGAAGAACTCGATTCCAGCACCTGGCACCTGCTGTCTCTTGTGCCATAGCCCCAGCGAGCTCGATTGGAACCTTCCCAGTCCCCTTGTGCGGAATCGGGTTGATGTAAACATCCACTTCTACAGCACACCAGTAGGAATTCATGTTATTGGGGGTTGAGGAGACAGAGCTAGGGAACTACGCAGGAAGTCAGTGATGAAAATGGCCATGTCCTTCCTTTCCTTTAAGAAAAAAATACGTAAATTGTGGTGTTGGGGAATTAAAAATGTTGAGGCTGGTTTGGGTTTTGTTTCTTTGCTTTTTCAAGGTTACGGAGAGCCTATTAGAGTATTATGGGTTGCATCCTGCGTGATATCCAAGAGTCAGGAGGGCTGCTTTGCCACAGATTGCAGTGTTCTAAGATTTCTTTTACTTGATTTAAACTTTAAGTTTTCGGAGTATTTCTTTTAATAAATGTCCAGTAGTAAAATGACTAATAAAAGATATTAGGAAGTGTTCAGACAATTTCTTAAAGTAACATTTTTTCCATAAGCTTTATGCTACTTAAAAACCCTTTTCTACCAAAAAAACCCTATTTCATTTCTTGAAATTTTAATTGAAAACTGGTTTGTTGTGTTGTGTTTTGACGCTCACAGACCTTTGTTCTTCAGTATGTTCGTTTTTGGCCACAGGAGTACCTGCTTGCCAATGCAGTGTGATTCCCTGATGCCCAGGCTTATCTTTGGGGGTTAGCTCGTTACATTTACTGTCAGCCTTACCACAAGTTTTACCTATAAATTTTGAAGTAACCTATAGGCCAAAGCAAGGGCTGCTGGATACCATCCAAGCCAGGTGGGTGCATGAACAATCTTTGGTTCTTTGCTTCTCATCTAGGGCTTTGCTGTTGGAGTTTTGGCGTATGTCTGCCAAGTGAATGTGTCTTCACTGCGAATTACCATAATCATTGTGTCGTTACCCCCTTGTTCTTCAACCCACGGCTGAAGGAAATACTCCGCACTGCAGGTACTCCAGTTCGTAGTGGGGCATTAGGGTCTGTGTTCCCTTACACAGGAGCAGTAGCTCCGGGCAGATGGGTGGAATAGGCAGCCAGGGAAAACATCTTGGACTGGCACAGCAGAGCTTTTTCATTAAAAAACCCATAATAAAGAAGCATTATTTTTGATTGTTCTTCCAGTAAAATTCAAAATACAACATTTGATCACATTCTGAATATCAAAAGTTTGGGGGTGATTTTATGTTGTTTTTAATATCCTTATACTTTGGCTTGGTTCCCTCGAATTTTTCAGCGATCCTTCTGGCATTATAGCTGTTGCTTTGACTCACTGTGATTCCTCACTGCTGGAGCAGAAAAGAAATTCACATTTGCAAATGCATAATTTCAGTGGGGATCTGTCCAAGCAGAACTGAAACGTGTTTTTAAATGGTGCTTTGCTATTGCGTGTTTTTAAAGTACATGCACAGGTCAAGTTTATGTCTTAAAAGGGACTGACTCTTGAGA